GCCCTCACAAAACTTCCCTACGTTGTCTCTCAATCGCTTGACTTCACCCCCAATATGGGTGACGATTTCGCGCGCAAAATCCCTAAACCCGGACCGCATGGCACTCAACGCTACATCCTGGATCCAGCTTGTCTGGCTCTCCTCCATCCAGGCCTTGCTCAACACCTCTAGATAGCCCAGTACTTTGTCTCACTTGGCCTTATTATCTGGCTGGGCCAGCACCTCCGCTCTACACTCCTGCACCTTTGCCACTGCGGCGGTCATCTTATTCACTTCCTCTCTCCTCCTCTTCTTCTCCCACTTCATTCTGAACTTCCATGCTAACTTTTGCTCGTTTTCGCTCTTTCTTCGTTCCATTGGGTCTGTCATGGTTGCTAGCTCAGCGGCCAGCGCAGCCTTCTCATCCTTAGTCACATAGGACTCCGCCTCCTCGTCTTCCCCCAACGATAAATTAGCGACCCACTCGCTGATCTTCTTCTCCAACTCAGTATCTGTCTCCCACTTCATCGTGCCACCACTACTTCCTTCCCCACTCTCAATTCTCATCCTCTCTTTCTCTTCTTCTGCAGCCGCTTCTGCTTCAGCAACCTTCCTTCTTTCTTCCTCCTCCTGTTGTACCCTCTTGATCTCCTCCTCCAATCTCTTCATCTTCGCCACCTGCTCGTCTGCGATAGCCTTTAGCTTGGCTTGCTTTTCACGCTCTTTCCTCTCCTTATTCTCTCTGACTAAGGCGGCCATCTTTTCTTGCTGCTCAGTGGTGTAGGGGCTAGTCTCCTTCCCACTACGGGTCTCAACCATGGTGATAAGTGTACAACCGGGTTAGTGGTTCCAAACCTCACCACGTAGACGTCAACCCCTGAATGACAGACCTACTGACTCAATCTAAGACTCACAGAATCCTGACAGGAATCCTATCAACTATGGTCTCTAGCCTAGACCTACACTATGGTTGTCACTACTGAACCAGTGGCTGATCAGGAGGCATTTAAGGAGATCCCCCGTAACTCCTCAAAAATTCTTTAACGTCGCAGACAGGACGACGTGATCAGCTTGGTTCTGCCTGTGCTTTCAGCCCACAACTCAGCCTTTCCGGCCTACTGTGCCACACCAAGCAGCCCGCCGGTCTGTACCGGTCCTTGGGAGGGTTCGTATCCCCCGGGACAGCCGAGTCGTCAGACACAGATCATCARCCTTACTTGGTCTGGTAGGGGAGTGGTTCCAACAGACCCTCAACACTTAACGACGACCTCCGTTTCAGCCTGCAGCTCGGAGTTCAGACCCTCTACACTGAAACTGAACAGACCTGCCGGACAGTACCGGTCATTGGGCTAGACGAGTTGTTTAACGAGCGCTCGCCGCTCATGCCCAGGTCTCCAGATACCAGAGTAGAGATTAGTCCTCCTAAGTCCCGTGCAGGTTTGGCAGCAAGGTCCTATCCTTCATCCACAGAGTTCTATGACCTAGGACAGAAGAGACTCAATGCAGAAAGAATAGACAGATAGACTGTACTCAGCAAGTACAAAGGGGTATGTGCACATCCATAGGACAAGGGCAGGCTAAGGGCTTGGCGAGATGTTACCAACTCCAGCTTGGTCAAAGTCTTGGTCAACGCCTTGGTCAACACCGGTCAATGCTGCTATGACCCTCGGTCAACTTCGGTCAACTTCGGTCAACTCCGGTCAACGCCTCCGGTCAACCCTCTCGGTCAACTTCCCGGTCAGCTACGGCTGTCGGCACTTCTTCCTCGCCAATCCCCTTCTTCTTCCTTACCTCCCTCGACGCCTTTCCCCCGTTGTCTTCTTCTTTCTCTTTTTTTTTTTTTTTTTTTTTTTTTTTTTTTTTTTTTTTTTTTTTTTTT